TCTTTCCGAAACCAGGTGATAACTCCAGTAGACTCCAATCAACTAGCCGAGGAGCCCTAGATGTTGTAGATGGTTTTGGGAGCCAGGAATATGATATGTAATTATTCGGTCTTCATGTGTACTCATCCGGATTGTCTGGGTGCGGCCACAGGATTGCCGAAAATGGCGGCAAAATCTTCGTAGGTGGCGGTGCCCATCTCTTTCCTCATCCGCCACACAAAATCTGTCGCAACACTGGTTCTTCTCGAGTGGTACTCACACATTTCTGCAGTTCATTTCTGCAAATTCTCAAAGCGATTGAATTCTGCCCGACGTCTGTGCTGCAGAAGTTGAATTCTGCCTCGTGACGTTGTGTTTTTAGATCTTCAGCCGTGTTCAAACGCCTTCCCGAAACCTTCGGAGGGCCGACCCCCATGGGTTCCTGCTCACCCGAAGGATTGAGTCGAAGGGGCATGTCCACCATGGTGATCATGGCCTCCAACTCTTCTGCCGCGATCTCACGACCCATTTGGAGAAATAAATGTCGCAGCACCTTGCTGCTGATGGCCTGGAGTGGGAGGGATGCAGGTTTTAGGCTGCAGGATGGGCATGGATGGCCTAATTGTATATATATATATGCCGTTTGAGATTACAACTTAGAAATGTTTACAGTCAGTATTTTATTTACAGCATATCCTGTGGCGGCCGGAGGGAAGTAGCATGAGTGGGAACAGCATTCCATCAATCTATTGTATGGTGGGATGCTGATGGCAGCCTGGGAACAAACAGGTGAATGAAGGGTAGGAGTTGCGGGTCGAACGGTGAACAAAACACCTCAATAGCATGGATCTCAAACTCAGGTAAGCTTTGCGTTGGACTCTAGTTGTGTTTTCCACAACACGGAAGTGGAACATACACCCCTAGTCGCGGTTTCAAAGAAACACGGGAATATGGTCTTTCACGGGGATCCAATCTTCACGCCGTGGCTGTTGATGGGAGGACATTGGAGGCTTTAGCACATGCAGGGACCCCACAGTGACATAGCTCTTCTATGCTCTTCTGTTCTGCCACTATGACGCAAAACAGAACCGCTCTAAACATCGTAGACCAATCCCTGAACTTCCAGGAGCATCCACTCGTGGGTAACAAGTTACTCCTGGGTGCACTTCGGACAGACTGTGCGCCTCGCAATGGTCCAAGTCCTGCAAGGCAGGATCTGATTGGCTCACGTCTCGACGAGGTCTGAGGTCACCTGATGGATATCGAAAAATAAGAAACATCTCTAGTCTCTAGACTATCGAGCAGCCAATGATGTCACGCTTGTTTGCTGGATTTAGCGGAACTAACAGGCTAGTAGCCGAGGCACTACTAGAGTATGTATATATAATCCCAAAGCCTTGGGATGCAGGTTCTTAGGACACCACCACCAATGAACCGGCAAATAGCCTCCAAACATCTTCATTCATCTTAACAAACTTCCCATGTCTTCCCACGCAGCACTTTCTCACCAAATCTCTCTGACGAGTCAACATGGCGGTGCAAGAAGCGGTCCATCTTCTGGAAGAGCTTCCGCAGCAGCTGCTCATCGAAATGCACCGATCCCATTGGTGGTGGCTTCTCTTTCAAATGGTCGTCCCTCTTGGAGGCCTGGTGACGTCACCAATGGAATGACAGCTGGAGATGTAAATGGCATAGCCATATACTTATATAAGTACTTATATACACACATCTATACATATACATCTATATACATATGCAAAGGCCTTTGGTCTAAACTTCTCTGTCGAGTTTGCACATTGCTTGTGCTACCTATTCACCCTGGATCACACCATTCGCCGGTCTCCCGCTGGGTGATTCGTCGCCTGCATCTTCACAACTGCCTTCTGGATCTTCCGGACCTCAGGCCGACACCGAACGAATGAGACATGAGAGAAAGGAGACATGAGAGGGCGCGAGCGGAAAATGTCCGGATTGGGCTCCGGGCACCCTTGGTATAGCCGGTCTCCTCAGCTGCTGCTTGCAGTGCTGGAGGGAGCTTCACCTGGCAGAACATGTTCCGAAGCGAACGCTTTGTGGAGTCGCTGCTGAGCAATGAAGCATGTCCACTATACCCGCTACCAGTTGTGCAGACTGTGTGCCATGGGCCATGTTTGCATCGACCTAAAGGCCCCCCAAAAGCATCCTGAAGTGAAGCACAAGAAAGAACACACCCAGCTGCCACACAGTGGCCTCCAAGGGCACACCCAGCTGCTGACGGATTTTGGGTGAGATGTAAGCCGGGTCCACATCCTGCCGCATGAGGTCATGAGGCTTTTGGCCAATCAGAACTCAATTAAACAACATCCAAACCATCACACATGATGTCTGTGGTGAATCTCAGGGAGGATCTACTATATGGACCTGGATTTACATGCCAAACTCCAAACCTGAGCTTTGTGATTTCGCTCAATGCACACACAAGTGTCATAGGGCTCACCATATCTCTGGACAAAATCATGATCTTTCTTGGCTGTCCTAGTGTGGCCTGTACTTCATTCATTCATTCAAATGAAAGCCAAGAACTTCTCCCAAATCCACTCCCTCCCGGGCGGTCCGAGTCACTGTCCATATCCTCTGCATGATGCATCACCTCCAGGTCCACCTCGGGCTCCGGCCTGGCAACAGTGGAATCCAAGTCGTCCAGATCGGACGACTTGTAAGCCTCATGAAGCCAACCCTCCTTCAAAGGCTTTCGAAAAAAGAAATATCAACCAACATAAAGGCCACCAGGCATGTATTTGGTGATACTTGGTGTAATGAGGCATAGCACTCTGAGGCACCTAGCTACTGGTATGCTTGCTTTGTGGTCTAAAAATGGCTCTCTAAACCATCGGTTCCTCCGGCTCTTGCACCGCTGGGCAGGCCCTGCCCTGACCCTGCCTTTCGCTTTTGGGAAGTCTCGTCGGAAGCCGGAAGTCCTCCCCACGAGGTCTGGAAGCCGGTGCTCCGACCACACGGAACAGGACGGTGGTAAGACCGTCCCATTTGGAGCAAGCGCTCGCTCTGGCATCCGGGTTTCCAAAAAAAACACCAATGAAAACCCAAACATCAGAACAACAAACTCTGAAGAGATGAAATCAAAATCAGAGTCTTGGTTTGTTGTTCTGATGTTTGGGCTAAAAATCACCTGATATAAACTTATATCTCCAAGATCACTCTGAAGACGGCTTGTGTCTCCAGGTGATCTTTGGTCGGATTCTTTGGAACCGCCTCCCTTGCGGCTCCCGCGGCACCTCCATGGACCAAAGCTGGCCATAAATGGACAAGGCCAAAAGCTGGTGAACTGAACATGACACATGGGACCACCCCCAAATCAAAACAAAGGCTACAAATTATCCTGCGAAGGCATCTATATATATATATGTGTGTGTACAGTATCTGGATCTTGCATACCGCTACTTTCGGGCTCCTATATAATTCGGGTGCACCCTCGCTGCAGGTCCTTCTTCACTGTCTTAAACTTCGACATCTTGTCCTTAGCAGTTAGCGACAGCATGCAACAGCTGTCCACGAAACTGATCCAACGTTGCATTGGCAAAGCCAACGGTCGCCAGTGCACCACTATGGTTTTAGGATGCTTTACGCCTCTTGTACCCCTAAACCAGCAACGGTTTTATTCTTCAAACCTTCACCCACTCCACATGATGGCTGCACCTCAGGGTGGCTTGCTACCTAGCGCTGCAAGACCCAACTGGCTTGCACCCAGCGTGACTCTTCTTATCTCCTCTCTTCACCCATTGCCATGCTATCTCCTCAAGCTTGGTAATCTGCCTAAGGCCTAAGCAACCAAAGGCCTCAAAGGTATTGAGTTGGTCGCAAGTTGCCTGGCAATTCCTCCATCTGATGTAGTTTTGCATAGTTTTACATTCCTGCTCGAACACCTGGAGCCCCCAAGAAACATCCCTCACAGAGTGAGTAGAATCGATGCAACATTTGGACGGGGCAAAGTGTTGCTCATTCATCTAAGATCTGTCTACTTTTCACCAGGTGGCTTTCACTGAGATTCACATGAATCTTCCTTTGCCTGCCTCATTTTCCTCATTGCACTGACTGGTAGTTGGTAGCTCCGGAGAGCTTCACGCGGCCGAGCATCCGCCATGACCGGTGGACACCGGCGGAGTAGGTGGACACCGGGGCAACTGAGAAGGAGCAAAGGACCAGAAAGACTAATCTACCATTTGTTTTCGGAATATATCGGGATCTCATATGCTTGATTGATGTGGGTCACAACTTCAGCACAATTACAGTGTGGCCATGTGGCCGCTGAACCAGCAATTGATTTAGCATTGGGTTGCTGGACAAGAGTCGCTCTTGCTCTTGGTGGTCTGCAACTTAGGCTTCACGAAACATGATAGCACCTATTTGGCATGCACGTCAACAATGGTCCGCCACATATGAGGGCATTTTCCAAAGCATGGTCTCTTTCACTCTTTTGTGCATCACATGTGAATGCGATGAATACCATGGTCTACGACACGGTTCTCCCAATGTTCATGGTCTCATGTGAAGCAAGCCAAGCTCAACGAGCCATGCTTCTGAGTCCAAATGCAGCAGAACGGGCACAGCATGGCAAGGCCAAGGGCTGGCTGGCAACATCAACCATCCATCATGCAAACATATCCCTTTCTGGAACCGCCTTCGGTGGTTGAGGTTCTCTTCAGCAAGGCCTGCCAAGGCATTCGGCAATGGACCAAGCACTCTGACTGTGCTACACGTGCATTAAATAGATTGATTCCAAACAGCAGCATAAATGAACCAAATGTAGCCAAATACAAGAGTTCAGTCCGGCCATCACCCCTATCAGGCACCTCTTTGGGCAAGCACCTGTCGCTGCGAAGGCTTCATCACAAGTACCAATGACGCCACATTCTACGAGTACCTTGTTTGCACTGCTGTGTCGCCAGCTAGTCGAGCATGCGGACCCACACCACAAAAAAAACAACTACTTTACTTGGAGCGATTCTCATGATGGCATTCTTTTTTTCGCATCTATGTCGCACGTCGCAGCACTCACACAGCACAAGGTAGCGCAACACCTTCACCAAGCGTCGTCAAACATAACGATGGGAACTTCAGTGCTGGACAGCCCTGCGCCGCCAGTAGCTTCCCAAACACGGTCATGAAATACTTGCGCATATTCAGCTTTCCCAAATAAAGAAGTGTGGCTTGCAGCCTTCCCGAAGCTCTCCCAATGGTCGCCGGTCACTTGAAACCTCCTGTGGTGCAGGTGCTGCATCAAAGCGGGGTGTCTCAATAAACTCTCGTTGCCGAACATCTGGCGAAACGCCAGCCGGTGAGCGAACTGCTCTTCTTGCCGCAGTTGTTGTAACCTCATTTGTTCTTCGTGTTCTGCTTGGTAGTGCAGCTGGATTCTGCGTAGGTCTTCCTGACTGGATGGAGCTCCCCAAGGTTGGGCCGCCGCCAATGGGAATGAAAGCTCCTCTGCCTGCGCCATAGCTGCTGACCTGATGCCTTCATTTGGAATCATGGTGTCCGTTGGGTCGTTCGGAACCATGTGGCTCACCAGGTCATCTACCATCTCACCCTCCACGTTTTGGCAACATCTCCTTTGGCACAAGCATGCTGTGCCGTGGTGGGACTCTGAAATACCCATTGCAGCCACTTGAGCCCATGATGGCATTATACATATACTGTATATATATATGGCTAACAACCGGTGACTGTATTGTTTCAAACATACACTGCCACTCTAGCTGGCTTAAATTCTGGCCTTGTAGCTGGGATATACTCTGGCATCTATCTGGCGTTTGATATCTGGCAAACAAATGATGGCATTCTATCTTGCATAAATTCTGCCGTGATTCTATCTGGCCTCTTTTCTGGCATTTTATCTGGCATATATTCTGACATTCTATCTGACATAAATTCTGGCTTTCCATCTGGCATTTATAGTTGCATTCTATATCCGCATTCTATCTGGTGTGGCCGATATTCCGCATTAAATTCTATCCCCCTTATTAGGGAATTGTGTCCTTTTGTGTCGAAACTCGATCGACTGCGAAACTCGTCGATGGATGACTGACTGCGCCTTTCAACATCAAACACGCCCTGGAAAATCATAGACCACCCCCTGCTCTGCATCCAAGGTTGATCATGTGGATCATGTCTGCAAGACAGAACATGACCACAAATTGTGAGAGTTGCATCATGGTCATCGACCGGAGCCGCTTCAGGGCGACTCCACTGTTGGCTTCACAAACATGACAAGTACCACCACCGTCCCCGTGAGGTTGGCACTCCCAATAGCGGGAACCATCGCACACTGCAACATCATCAGGGTGACACCTCAGGACGAGAAACCGCTTGGGGATGCCAGTGATCCCAGGAAGGCCACTCTCTCTCTCTCTCTGTCTTTGTCTGACTGGACATGACGCCAAACTGGGGCTCATGGGAAATTCCTTCAGACAATCTTGCAGGGCATTGAAGGCCTGCACTCTCGTGTGCAAAACGGCTAGATGCACTAGGCAATACCAAAAAGCCCAAGGTCCGAGCTTGTCCTTTGGGCACTCCTCGCATCCTCGCAGCGCTGCGTAAACGCGCTCAGCAAATGCACCGGGGTTGGATGCCAGTCTCCAGTCTGTGGGGAACTTGGAGGTAAACTCATCAAGAATTGTAACTTAAGCGGCTAGCGGCAATATGTACCTATGGCACCTAATGGCCCCCTTGCATTTGACATACAAGTCTCCAGTTACTCCAGTTCCATGGACTTGTGTGGGTTGTTGATGGTAAAAAATCATTTCAGATTTCACCGGACTCATGTTTCTCGCATTCCTCTCAATGATGTGTTCAAGATTCAAGGATTCCCTCCTCATCATGGCCTATCAAGCCCCATTCAATGGTTGATGTGAATAATATCGCCCTTTTCCACCCGAAAAGGACAGCTTGGTGACAGCCATCTTTTTCCCTCCTTTATGAAGGCCTATAGCTGGTTTTCGTTCTCATGCTTGACCACTGGCCACTGCAAGTTAGCCTCTCCACCCAAAAAACGCACGAACTTGTGAAGTCAATTGGCCAAGAAACAAAGCTTCAAAAGAAGGACCTGGTGTTCTTTGCCCAGCAGGTGGATAAATGATGTCCTTTTTGGAGTAAAAGAGGGGGCCAACTTGGGACCATATCTATTGGTTGTTCACTTGGGGGCATCTTCCCGAGCCAAATTCCGTGCCTTTAAGCTGCTTGGGGCAAGGCTTGATGTGAGACCTTCGATGACAATGCAACTTCATCAAAGCCCTTGCAACTTAATACACTTGTCATTGAGTGTCTTCATCTGGGTGAGCTGTTGATTAGCAAAAAACAAGATTATACAAGCATAGACCCCAAACAGCTTCAAAACGCTTCGTTTAGACCAATATTAGTCAAAAATCGATTTCTTGGTTCGCCCTACTTTCACCCCAAGAGCAAACTGCTTCATCAATGAATCTATTTCTTCGGCCACACTCCTCTCCAGTAAGCCGGGCCACAAAGACCGGCCACAGAGTTCAGGGGCGCGGCGAAGACAAGGACAAGAGGAGGACAAGACCCGGACACAGAGCCGGGCCACAGAGCCCAGCCACAGAGTTCAGGGGCGCGGCCAAGACAAGGACAAGAGGAGGACAAGAAGAGGACAAGGCCCAGCCACAGAGCCCAGCACAGAGGACAAGAGGAGGACAAGAGCCCAGTAAGCCGTCCATAGCACACATGCGCGCGCGCGCTCGCCCTGCTCTCTTTCTCTCTCTCTCTCTCTCTGTCTTTCTTTCTTTCTTTCTGTCTTTCTTTCTTTCTTTCTTCTTTCCTTCCTTCCTTCCTTCCTTCCTTCCTTTTTTTTCTTTCTTTCTTTCTTTCTTTCTTTCTGTCTCTCTCTCTCTCTCTCTCGCTCATTCTCTTTAGGTGCTTCTTTCTCTGTCTTTCTCTCTGCGCAGCGCGCCGTGAGCGCGCCATTCTGGAGCGTATTTCAGAGCGCGCACGAGCGCGCTCGCCCTGCTGTCTTTCTTTTGTTCTCTCTCTCTCTCTCTCTATCTCTCTCGCTCTCTCTCTCTCTTTCTCTTTAAGTTTCTCTTTCTCTGTCTTTCTCTCTGCAGAGCGCGCTGTGAGCGCGCCTTTCTGGAGAGTATTTCAGAGCGCGCACAGCGCGCCGTCCGAAGCACACGAGCGCGCGCTGGCTCGCCCTGCTGTCTTTTTCTTTCTTTCTTTGCTTTCCTTCTTTCTTTCTGTCTTTCTTTCTTTCTTTCTGTCTTTTTTTCTTTCTTTCTGTCTCTCTCTCTCTCTCTCTTTCTCTTTAAGTTTCTCTTTCTCTGTCTTTCTCTGTGCAGAGCGCGCCGTGAGCGCGCCTTTCTGGAGCGTATTTCAGAGCGCGCAGAGCGCGCCGTCCGAAGCACACGAGCGCGCGCTGGCTCGCCCTGCTGTTTTTCTCTGTCTTTCTTTCTTTCTCTCTCTCTCTCTCTTTCTCTTTAAGTTTCTCTTTCTCTGTCTTTCTCTCTGCAGAGCGTGCTCTAAGCGCGCCTTTCTGGAGCGTGAGCGCGCCGTCCATAGCACACGAGCGCTCGCGCGCGCCCGCCCTGCTGTGTTTCTTTCTTTCTTTCTTTCTCTACTTCATTATCTTTCTTTCTTTCTTTCTTTTTTTCTCGGTTCTTTTATGCCTGCAATCTCATGGCCACGGCACAAGCCAAAAGTGGCCCGGGAAAGGATCATTCGCCTTTGACCCGGCTCTACACACAGCAGCCCTAGCTGCTGGAACTTCTTTCTTTCTTTCTTTCTCTCTCTCTCTCTCTGTCTCTTTCTCTTTCTCTTTCTCTTCAAGTTTATCTTTCTCTGTCTTTCTCTCTGTAGAGCGCGCTCTGAGCGCGCCTTTCTGGAGCGTATGTCAGAGCGTGCGCCACAGAGCCCAGCCACAGAGTTGACAGAGTTCAGGGGCACGGCCAAGAGGAGGACACAGAGTTGACAGAGTTCAGGGGCGCGGCCAAGAGGAGGACAAGAGGAGGACAACGAGGACAAAAGGAGGACAAGGCCTGGACACAGAGCCCAGCCACACAGAGTTGACAGAGTTCATGGGGGGCGGGCAAGAGAAGGACAACAGGAGGGCAAGGCCTGGACACAGAGCCAGGACAAGGCCCAACCACAGAGCCCAGCCACAGAGTTGACAGAGTTCAGGGGCGCGGCCAAGAGGAGGACAAGAGGAGGACAAGGCCCAGCCACAGAGCCCAGCCACAGAGTTCAG